GTTTCTGGCATCATCTTGGAGTCAGCAAGTCCCTTGCCGTCTGGTTTCACTCACCACTGCCTGAGGGAGTGGAAGTTCATCTTATTTGCAAAGTGGTTTCTGCTGGGCGGAGAATGGCAACTGTCAGTGCCATCCTAGAGGATTCAAGCGGGAAAGTCTGTGCTAGCTGCGTACAAGAAAAGTTTTTTGTTGGAGATGAAAAACTATAGAACGCAGGGCTCTGAAATGTCCTGTGTAGGATCGTCAATCACATCACATATGTTTTCGGAGTGGACATCCAACATGCCTAAAATTTGATGTACCCATATGAGAGCGCTTTATATTGATCTAGTCAGAGGGGCATTTATAGTTTCCAGAAGAGACTTGCATTCCTCCATCCACGACAAGATCTTGCCCCGTCACATATGAGGAGGCGTCACTCAGCAAATACAATGCAGCCATTTGAAGGTCTTGCGGCTTTCCAACGCGCCCGAGAGGGGGTGCCTCGTGAAAAATGCGAAATAGCCCCGGTCGACGGGCGGCGATTGACAGGTTCATATCAGTGGCAATGTACCTAAATTTTCGTTTAGGAACAAGCCGTTGGTGCGTTGGGGAGACCACTTGCCCTGGAGAGACCGTGTTCACACGAATGCCGTCGGAAGCGAGCTCATGAGCCAGGCTTCTTGCTAGCGACCAAACAAACCCCTTGGTACCCGCGTAGCCAGTCAATAAATGGCCAGGACAAACATGGTGCGATGACTGTGAGCATATCACCAAAACACTTCCATGGGTGCCATGCTGCTTCATGTTTCTTACTACTTTCTGTACCGAAAAGAACGTCGCTGTCTCCTGATTTGAATTTTAGCACTTGGTCATGGCATGGCTGGTCTTAATACGTGCGTTGACGGCCTGTAACCTCTGAATATCCTCCCATTCAGGTTCCACAAAGGGTTTGTCAATACAGATACCAGCTGCTGTGATTCTTTTCAAAAGAAAGAAAGCAAAAATAAGCGACATCATTCTTCCACAAATGATCAATCGGTCTTACAGGCCATGTATAAGGGGCAGCTTGCCTAGGATATCGGCGAATGTGCGGTCGATTTCCTCTCTCTTGGTCACATCGCAGCTTGAAGGACTCAGCAATGTGCCCCATTTTCTTCAGAAATTGACATTTACCGGTAGTATAGGAGCTTTTCTTGATTATGTTGCTGCCATTCGAGAAAAGTCGGATCAGGCTCCGGCAGAATATCCGTGACCACTACCGTAGCACCAGCATCCAAGCATGCCCTCGAAAGCGCCATCCCAATACCTCGGCCACCACCTGATGCAAAAACGGAAACGAAAGTCAGTCCACGATATCACTTCAGTAGGGTTGAGAAGATATACCAGTTACTAGAATTACTCGACCGGTGAGGCTGAAACACGCTAAAGTAGAGGCAAGCTGTACTTCAGATGACATAGTTTCTGGGAAGGAAAGTTGAACCTATTTTGTAAAGTAATTGAGAACCTAGATAGTCGAGGAAACTTGAGAAGATACAAACATGCTTCATACTTATACATACCTCTGGTCTGTGTCGATGAATAACCCCACGCCCGGGACTCATATCCCGGCGGAACCCTTTTTTTCTTTTATTTTTCCGGGATTCTCGCGTACAACTTACAACTTACAAAAGCGTTTCAAAAAAACGGATGAATAAATTTTGCATCCACCATTCTCGTGTAGTCTAGTCACTCGTGACAGTATCAATCTGCTCATTGGAACGAGAAGAGCGAACTTTATCAAGGAAATATTCTCGATCAAAGCCGAAATCAACAGGTGTGAACTGGGCATGGCGCATGGCCCCAGTTCTGACACTTAAAAAGGCCCCTTTTCAATGTCTAAGTCTTCGTCAAGCGGTCCCAAGACTTTTCTTCTCAAAAACAAAATCCTCAATCTTCTTCTGCTTGTCTGTTTGAATCTAGGCCGGGGAAGAATCTAAAACTGAAACCCGTGACAAGACGCTTTCGTCCTACAAGCACGCAACGCAGAAATGTACCAAAATTCACCAACTGAGCTTGGTCAACTTCGGCTTTCAGTTGATCTCTGACGGTCTCCACCCATTGTGTAAGATCGATACCCTACACAAATTGAAGATGTGCATCATTCGGCAGGTAAGTAATACGACTCGATTCTCCGTAGCAGCTTTTTGACCACGGTCAGAGTAAACTATAACTATCGTGAAAAGTACCGATGTATCTCATAAAGTGAAGCATAAGTAACAAAGTATAGTACATATCTCTTTACTCATTATCACTCATATCAATAGTAATGTGCATGTAATGCGTTCATATGAAGATTCATTGGCACTACTTTCCAAAAACAGTCTGGCCATACTAACCTTGCCAAACATTGCGGGTAAACCCAACCTGGCTGTGCCATCTCTTGCTCTTGCTGAGGTTTCAATGTTGCCACCCCTATCCGGCGGCAATTTTACAACAGTCTCGTGGCCATAGCGTGCAGTAACGGTGTCCAACCAAGGTCGTCTTTAGTTTAATTTTCATACGGAATTGTTTCGAGCAATCTGTATGTTAGATACTCCGTGCCAAAAAAAAAAGGCAGCAATATGCAATGAATTTTGTTGTTCTTTCAATTTAATACCTCCATTAACCAATGATTTTGGCCCTTCCAATTAAACACAATGGCGGATGCATCAACTAATTCCGCGATTGGCTAGAAATTACACAACAAAAGCGCAACCTCAATGTGGCAGAGCCTTATTTACTGGCAATTAGTAAATAGTATGCATGTTTCTTCGGGCTGTAACTGTGTAGTTCAAAACGTGTCGTCATCTAGAACTCCGACTTTCACAAGCGTACGTAATATAAGATGCGTTTCGTACGGGCGAAAGCGGGGTTATGAAGGTAGATGATCAACTCTTTGGGCGAAGTACTTGGTATTTTGGCATTGCAACATCTCTCTTTAGCAAAGCAGCAGTACAGCCCGTGAGTCCAAAATTTCTTGGAGAGAGCAGTCTCGAATGCTTTGCCGACTATACTTAATGCAGTAGGAGAAAGGGAAAGATCTTTATATCACAAAAAACCTTGAAGTCCTGCAGGGTCGTCGAGCAGCTCCCTTTTTATTGAAACATACATCATGTCGCGTAGAAAGTTTCGAATGGGTGAGATCGAAGCAAAAGCACCCAAATAACATGCCATGTAAAGAATAGCTCATCACCCGTGCAAGTAAGACCGTTTTGACAAACTTTTAAAACTTCAATAAAAGAATTGCACATTTTTAATCCTGAAATACTCCGCTGATATCGCTTCGTTTAAACTCTCATGATCTCAAAATATACTAGAATACTGTCCGTTATAGTTCAAAAAAGATTACCCCACGAAAACTCATGTATTATTTCCAAACCCTATCAAGAAACCCACTAATATATCAATAGTAGACATATTTTGGTTACTCTTCCGACCACTCCGCTTCGTCGTATTGCAACTGGAAGGGGCGTGTATCGCTTTTTCATAGGTCATAATACAACTCTTCCTTGTCTCGCTTGCCATGCGGAACTCTCAAATCCAAGCGGCAAAACGGTGGCTCTACCCATGTGACTCCAGACACTCCGTGGGCGCGAATGCAGCCTTGCGGGCCACGAACTCTGCATGCCGGAGCCAGCAGGCCTTAATTTCCCGCTTGAGGCGCTGGATCTTGATCTCGTCGTGCGTGTGCTGAGCAATGAGCCGTTCTTTGTCCTCTGTGAGTTGTTGCGCTCGATTCCTCCTTCCACGGCCCCTCTTTCTCTTGCACCTGCCTCGGCGAGGTTTCATGGTTGGTATCTCTGCCCAACCATCCGAAGAATTGTTTCGGTCTGGCTTCGCCGTGAAACCCTCCTTTATAGATTTCGGTTGCCGTTGAGTCTAATGGGGAATATCAGCTGCACGCCGGGGGCAAGGAGCAAGGAATAGGAGGACCTACCGATTTTGGTGTCGGTTCAGGAACAGGAATTATTTCAGTGCCCACCGCATAGGTTGGGTTGATAGGATTTTTGAGAACATCGTTGGAAGTGTGCAGCTCAACATTTGGCGTGGAATCCGCGTCTCGCGAAGAAGTCTATTCGCTCTATAATTATAAACTTGCTCGAATGCTAGCTATAGAAGTAGCTTATTCAAATAGAAGAATTTAGATAAAATGATAAGAGAGTAGGGTTATAGGCATATAGGCATATAGTGTCCTTATATAGCTAAGACTTCGAGCTCGAGTCGGCCGCCGTACTAAAAAAAGATAGGGAATTTTCATTAGACTATCCCTAATCGGATGGCAATCGCCGTCTTTTTTACGCCTGATAGACATGACGCATGATTTTGGGGACAAAGGGACCCTCTAGAAAACGAGGGCAGCCCAAATATCCTCAACGCACTAACCATCATAGAATAAATGGCTCTGTGGGGCCTGTCTCTATTGGGTAAGGTCTAGATTGTTACACAAATCAGGAGTGCTCACTGAGCACTTACTGAGCACTCACTGAGCGACTGAGCACGCACTGAGCGACTGAGCACGCACTTTCGCTCACTGAGCACGCCGCTGATTAGTTATCACGCACGTGACCGAACTAGAGCATGATCACTGAGTCTGAGCCCGTGCTGACATCTACTCACTGATCCTGAGCCTGAGCGCCCTCATAAAGCGGCGGCAGCCCAGATAGGAAATGCCCCACGGCAGACATTATCCTGTCTATATAGGTGCATACATCACAACGCGTTAAGATGGCACTGGCTAAGTATTTGTGTGAGTTTTGGAATTCCGTCATAGTGTCAACAAGATGATTTTCCATCATTCCTCCATGTTCTTGCCCACAACAGTCCCAGTGTGCCGACGCTGGTTGGCAAGAAAGTTGAAATCGCATCAGAGGCAACAATTTGAATTATATCTAAGCACATCAGGTCTTCAATAGTAAGGTGAGACAGCGAAGTAATCGACGATATGGTTCCTCCGTACAGCGACGACGAGTGAGTTACAGGTCGTAAGAAAAAATATCGCGCTAGATATCACTCGACGTAAGTAATTGATGTCCCAATGGAATGAGCTCGTAATTAGAAAGTGAATCAACGTTGCTCATGATACTAGCTTCTAGCACATACCATTCAATTGTTGCCAACGTAATGATACACTGAGTTGAATATAGACCGTTTGAAGTATATTCTACCGGCGACGCTTGCACAATAAGCACTTTCAGCCAAAGAGATGTTAACAGAACCTCTACTGTTGGCATCACAAATCGACGCTCAAATCGAGGAATGTAAACTGGGGCCAGGGCAAGGTAAGGAGCGGCAAGACTGAAGGTGCATATTGCGACAGCAAGAGTATACAATGTTGGAATTGTCAACAATAAGGTGCATAGCACTGTTAAGAGTGAGAATCATTTCATGTGAGTAGTAGACGTAAGAGGTTGACGAACTGTGCGCTGAAGTAGCAAAAACGGCGATTGCCACAGACGTTTGGACGATGCGAGCCGCACGATACCAGGGAATTTTCAACGCCATCGTGTAGAGAGAGCTCAGCCGGGTAACATGCATCTGCTAGCATGTATGGAAAATACCCTCCTCGGGTAGAATTGACAGATCAGTCAAGTTTATGTGACTTCTTATCTCTTTTCAATTCTCCAAATTGCGAGCGACAGGCGGCCAAGACCTAAGCTCCTTTTCTGGGGTGATTATTGATCATGCCGAATGCTATCGACTAATTGGATTCAGATGCTGTTCAAATCAGTTCAAAAGCTAATCATTAGGATTCTGCATCACCTCTAGCCCAGGCAAATGTTTAGAGTACATCCTTGACAGCCTGCTCTATATCTTCCTTTGGCAGCTCCAACTTATCACCCCACAGCCCATATGGTCTTGAATCACCCAACGCCTCCTTGCCAAATGCCCCACCCCTAGTCAAGTCTATTATCCCCGCAAAATCGCCCGCTGCAAGCCTTCTCCTGCCTTCGGCAATGACCTCCTCGGACACAATGTTCTTTACCGTCCATTTCTGGCCGTCAACTTTCTCGACTACATCTAAAATATCTTTCTGGCTGACATTGAAAGATGACACAAAGACGTATTGGTTCTCCGTCTCATCGGCATGGTCAAGCATTGCAATAAGAGCTTTGCCGATTGTTGAAAGGTTGGTGGCGGTGAAAACTGAAGTGCCGCCATCGATGAGAGTCACGGTTTTGCAAGAGAGGTCAAAACCGAAAAAGCCCACTTTCATGGCCCAGTCGAAGAATGCGCCAGTAACAAGACTTGACCAAGAAATCTCAGACTCTTTCGATCGGAGGTAGTCAACTGTAGCTGCCTTCGCTGGTAAGACAGCGTGGTTGAGCGCGGAAAACTTGGGGTCACGCGAATAGGGGCCGAATTCGCTAGGGAAGAATCTCTTCACGCCAGCGGCTATGGCAGCATCAATGAACACCTGCTGGTCGCCTGCCACGATGCCGCCAACCATGCTTATCACCACGTCCTGACCTTCCATTGCACCCTTGACAGAGAATATGTCGGTGTAATCTGCTTTGCGGACAGGCACGCCTTCGGGAAATGCGGACGTCGATTTCTTTGCGGGTCAGAACACTGACTTTATACGGAGAGTCCAGGAATGCTTTGAGGACAGGAACGCCCAGGTTTCCGCCAGCCTGTAATATATTTGGTCAGCAAGATGCGCGGTAGGATCACCATGAGAACGTTATGTGCGAGCCGCAGGCTCAGGGCGATGGGTGGTGCAGGAAGAATGATGAGATGTACCCCAATAAGCATAACATTCCGAAGCGAGGCCATTTGTGATAAAATCAAATGCTTGGACGTTGGTGATCAATTGAGAAGTAAATGGCAGACAATTAAGGAAGTAGACGAGCCTGTTGGAAGCGTCGCATTCAGCAGGTCCTGTGCTACTTATTTCCAAATGCTAGCTCACTAGCTTGGCCAAGGCTCTGCTTCGTAATTTTGAGATTAATAAACAACGTTTCGAGCACCTTCCCTTACCTGCTTAGCAAGATCGCATGTAAAATAGTTATTTGTAAAGATCAATTAGGCCCGTCCACGGGTGTTGTATGCCTGCCTAGCCGGGTTTACCAGAATCCGAGCGCCTGTAAACCAGTCGCTGCTTTTCTCGCATATAAACGCTGTTATGCTCACCTCCTCGGTCGGTATCTGCATAGCGCAGTCTTCCATTCACATATCTTCGGTCTTGGCGTGTTACAATTGGTCCCTGCATTGGTCCCATACCATCACCGCCGTTGCTGTCTGCAAATTTTATGTCTCAATCCTGTATCCGGGGCCTTGTTGACGCTGGTGATCGAAGGTCCTTGGTGATGTATTTGATCTCGATCTCGTAGATCGATGGTAAAAGTGATTGGTCGATGGAAAAACAAAGCCCGTGATTAAAACATTGGTTGAAAGAAAGATTAAAAGAGGTGATGGAAAAAGGCTATTCGTGCCAATAACAATAGTGGATTACATAGGATCCACCCTAAGTGGGTTTCAATCCACTGGGCAGTAGATAGGATGAAAGGTAACCTCCCGAGATGAATGAATAGATGATATATTTGAAACGCAAGTTAAATAACTTCTCGGGAACCACAAGTAATTAGCGCCACGCGAGCCAGCATGGTCAATATCGTTCCAATGCGACAACCGTCAGCGGAAGATTTGGATGCTGCGCAGCACTTATCTCAGCACAGGCAGGTCGTGGACATTTAGCAGATCACACCGAGAGGATGACGTGGTACAAGGATCTGGTCAACCTGGACCAAATCAATGGATTAGACACAATGAAATCACGAGCGAGAAAACATCCCCCAGTAGCCAAAAGGCACAAGTATTTCAGCATTGCGCGCCAAGGGAGCAGCCTAATATGAGGCCATGAGGCTCACATTTCTGTGCGTAGGGAATACTATATTCTACATAGACATACAAGTTGCGGTAGCCTGAATGTAGCTTTAACTGCGAGGTCTCAGGGTGAATGAATTTGTCCATCTATCCATCCTTGAGGTTTTCACATTGATTGTACCGTACTCAGTAATTCTCTCTGTGGCTCTATTGCTCCTGCTCGTAAATTCTTCAACACTACGTCAATCCATTGCCTTCAGGACTGCAACAGCCCCAGCCCCCCAACCGCAACCACCACCGCCCCTCCACAGAGCCCCCAAACCCCCTTATCCCATCCTCTTGGCCCCTGTATCGTCACCCATGTATCCACTGCACACACAATAGTCCACGCTGTCAACAAAACCCCCATCTCCTTCTCCTTCTTTTCACAATAGTACCAAAACAGCGCTGTTGCAACAGCCACGTCACGTATACCAAGGAATACCATTGATTTTTCGGTTATGTTACGGCCTTCTGATGTGGTAGGCGTAACCCCAAGAGAATCTGCAGCAACGGACGGTGCGAGTATGGACAAGATTCCCAGGGAGAAGACTGTGCCCGTGAGGCCAAGACCAATGAGGCGCCATGTTGAATGGGTAAGGAGGCGGTTGGGGAAAGCCATTAGATCGTCGGATTTGCGAAATTGATTTTGGATCCTGTTAAATTGATGCGGGAAGATTCAATGGAAGAGCTTGTGGATGATTGCGGATGAGAAAGCAAGTTACGAATTGCAGACGTTATATATCTGACAATGCCGCTCTTGAAACTCACACCTGGTTAGGGCCCTGCGTCACCGCGGAATGAGAAGAAAGTAGTTTAGAAACGTATGGGGCTTGCGCGGAATGGAAAGAGCAAAGCTTAGAAATGCGTTATGCTCGCTCAGCAATTGATAAGCGTGGAGTTGTTCTCAATTTAGCTCAGAAAATTGTCCGTGATTAATGATGGATTTGCTTTGTCAGTTTGTTTGAATAATAATCATCCCGAGAAATTCTTACCATAGAATTTATAATGAAGGGGAGCAAATAAGAGAACACCCATTGACCTCGGGGACATACCTGCTGATTATTCAACAGTCTGAAAGCCACCATTCCGGTTTCGTTAGACCCCGTAACTTTAAAAAAGAGGCACTCCATCCCATTACTTCGTTCACGCCAACATATCGGGCTTGCCAGCTATCCCCTCTATCTTTCCGATCGCGCCGCACTCTCATGGCTTCCAAGAAGCTAATTGTGATCCTTGGTGCCACCGGTAACCAGGGCGGCTCTGTTGCAGAGACGTTCCTGCGGGAATCAGGATGGCGTGTTCGCGCCATCAGCAGAAATCCTCTCGGATCGAAAGCTCGAGCTTTGGCTGCTCGCGGCGCAGACGTTGTCAAAGCCAACTTGGACAACCCATCCTCACTCCTCTCGGCATTTGAAGATGCCCATGTCATCTTCGCGGTCAGCGACTTCTGGGGCTTGTATGGCGATCCCGCCAATAAGGCCAAGGTACCAGCAGGCCAACCTCTCAATGTCTGGGCGGCCAACCATGAGACGCAGCAATTGAAGAATGTGATCGATGCCGCGGCAAAGGTCCAGTCCCTAGAACGGTTTGTGCTGTCCTCTTTGTCCAATGCAACCAAGTGGTCTGGAGGCAAATATACCCATGTGTATCATTTTGATTCAAAGGCCAAGGCCGAGATTTATGGGAGAGAGGAGCATCCAGGGTTGTGGGCGAAAACCAGCATCTTCCAGGCTGGGTATTTCTTGAGCAACTTCGTCTCAAACCCAATCATTCTGCCAAGAAAGGTAAGTCCCCAACCTCGCTAGTTTGCAACATTGGCCTAATCTGTGCGGGATGCGAACGAAGTTGTCCAGTTTATCGGCGGTCTAGACCCGGACATCAAGTTACCTTTTCTTGCTGCGGAAGAAGACACAGGTCCAATCGTCAGAGCCCTCGTATTTGACTCAGCCGGGAAAACTGTCATTGGCTATAGGGATTATATCACTCTGCGGGAATTGATTGAACTATTCTCGCAAGCTACTGGCATGAAGGCTGAGCCTGTCGTACTACCGAAGGGGCAGTCGGCTTTTCCTTTCCCGCCTGAGCTGCAGGAGGAACTTGATGAGAACTGGGGTTATTGGGAAGAGTTTGGATATGAGGGGCTAGGCGATTTAACCGTCATACATCCCCGGGACGTGAGTGCCATATTATTTCCCACTTCGTTCTTAGTGCTAACTTGTATAGTTGGAACGAGCACCGCAGCTTAGCAGCGTGGCTGAGTACTTCAAGAAGCAGGATTGGTCCAAAGTATTTGGTCCATAAGGGTTGGGATGGTTTAATGGGGTTTCTTTTGTTTCTTCTTTTTGGGACAAACCAGTAGTCTAGGTACCGAGAGGACTTCCCTAGGAGTTGGGCAACAAATGAACGGAGGGATATTGGCAGATCTCAATGTGCCAAGATATTGTGGATGTAGTAGAATTTATCCGGCCAAGATGGTTTCGCGCGGTAGCAGAATACGACAAGTATTCATAAATATTCGACTCATCCTATGATGAGTAAATCCATTTCCAACGCTTCAGAACCCACATACTTCGGAATCCGCACCCAAAGCTGGTTTGAGAAGTCAGTAGGCGCCGTCGTATAGACTCGGTCTATTTTCAGTCGGCCACACGTGCTCTATCTCACTCCCGAACGGAGGAGGGATCATTCCATTGACCCTCCAGAGTCTCCTTTCGGTCTCGTCAATGCGGAATTCTCAGTCATAACCCTTGTCGGCAACATGGGGCTTCAAAGTCTTGTCAATCGCGTCGACGGAGCGCTTGTAAGCATTGTCGCCATCTTCAAGTCGGACAGCAATGTGTTCGATCGCGATTCTAATGAACCGCTTCTTAGTTCTTCTTTCCCCACTAGCCCATACATCTTCAGTGGAGAGTTTGATAAAGCTGACAACCACATAAAAAGTAGGAAGACCGATCCCAGTGTCTATTTTCGTCACGTCTTTGGTCAAAGCTTGCTTTGAGCTGGCGTCCTCAAAAGCGCCGGGAGGGTGGAAAATGAGCCAAAGTGACATTTTGATTCTAATTAAAAATGGTTCAGAGAGAGACTCGGGGAATGCAGTTGAAACGATAAAACAGGAATTGAAATCAAATCATGAGGGCGTCCAATTTTGAGAGACGAAAATCTGGTCTTTTACGTGCAAGCAACGTTCTCTATAAACACGTAGAATAATCACATCATACTATTTAAAGTTTCTGTCTCTTTTCAATAACTAAACATTCCGAAGTTAGTAAACAGGGGCTTTTCGGATGGCAAACGGCTCCATACAATACATCATTACGGTTTTATTTCTCGCCGAGACCTCGTCAACCACGAGAAATCATGACGATTTTTGAAATAGTTAAAGTAGCTAGAGAGAGTCCCAATCAAGACCTATACACATAACTATGTATCAGTAGCTATGTAAGTACTGGATTTCAGGCGGATGTGATTTCCCCAATTGGGGTCGCTTTATGACGGTGCTCAGTGTCTTGCGTATTTCACAGCAAAGGGTGATTACTCATCTCATTACTCAGTGTCCACTTAATTCCACCTGCAACCTGACTCAGGACAACCTTTTCCCAGTATCCTGGAGCCTTCCTTGGGTATCCCCTGCACGCCTGAAATGCAATGCTGGTTCATGCGTGATAATGGTTGGGCCCACAGTTTGGTCCCACATGCAGCGCGACTCTCTCTGCGCCGGATAGACGAAAAGAAATAGCCTCCTGGAATTGGATGATAGCTTTGAAGAAAGGCCTCGTAGCGCTTCCCGCTCTACAGATTGTAGGGACTAAAAGGGCAGAAGGGATAGAGTTCTATTGGGAAGAGAAAGAGCGAGCTCCCAACTATCTATCTACCAACGAGGGGTTCATGCCAAGGCATACACTCCACAACACAACCGAAACGCAGTAAATATATCACTCCTGCTCCGCAATCCATCTCAATCGACAACCCTCTGGGTCAATGGTCTTGCAATACTCGTCACCCTCAATGGAACACTTGAATTTCCACTTTGTCAGTGTCTCCTTTGAAGCTTGAGCCCATAGTTCAAACAGCGTGTTCTGATTGTGGAGAAACATCGCCTCAAACCCAGGGGGCACATGCTCCCATACTGCCAAAATGAACTCCGGTAATAATTGAACCACTTCCCGGTAGGATCAAGTTAATCATACGCTTTGCTGCACTTAACTGTGTCTCCCAGTCCCAAAGATGCATGAAGTATCCCGAATTGATGATTTTGACCTTTTTAGCCAGGCGCCGGATTTCAAGTGTGTCCTCAGCGTAGTCTTGCACTAGAAATCTAGATCGAAGCTCTGACCGGTCGTTGAAGAGCTCGTAGCCAAGTTCAATGAATTCATGCTTCAAATCTAACCCAATCAAGCACTCAGCTGGTGCACCGTCCTGCACGAGACGCCGTAGGTCCTGACCAAGGCCGCAACCCATGTCTAGAAATAAATTTCCGGACTGAATCTCCTTGATGATTCTGCCATAGAGTGGGGAGAGGGAGAGATCAAACTGTAGGAACCAAAACTTCTGGAAACAGGGATATCTCAAGACATCGCCAACAGACACGTGTAGTGGCGTAGTGCAGTGTTTTTATTAGTCCATACTTTAATTGTCGGTTGATATCCATGAATCATTGAGAATCACTATCTGTGGATTTCCTTGATATCGAACTTCCTTCCGGTTATGGTAGGTTTTATCGTTGTTAACTTGGATATTATACGTTAGGTGTAGATACGATTGGTTAGATATGCAGCAAATGTGTGAAGTGCTTTCAATGAATGTAAGATGAAAATGCGCGACTGTGCGCGAAGATGGTGCTTTCCCCAAGCTCTCGGGTAGGGTATGCGGGGTACCGAGGTACATATGTAGGTACTTGGGTGCCGGGGGGCCGGGGGTAGCGGGGGTCTGGAGCCTGCTACCCCTGCTGCTGGATGTCGATGAAAAGACTGCTCGTGGATTACGAGCGAGGACTCATACCCTGATGGAAAAGCTACGTAAGGAGGAATGGAGGAAGACTGCGTTGCATTCCGAGCAAAGCCCACAGAGAGAGAGAGAAAGAAAGAGCGAGAGAGCGAGAGAGGGAGGGAGGGAGGGAGAGAGGAAGAGAGCTATCTAGCTATCTGGTCCTGTCACACATTAGCGGCCTCACAGATCAGTGTCCCAACAGAAAGCCACCAATGACGCAATCCACAAAATATGAACAACATCGCTGTCGTTGGCATGGCGTGCAGACTGGCTGGCAGAATTACCAGCCCTGACAAGCTCTGGCAGACCATCCTAGATAAGTGTGATCCCTCCAGCGAGATCCCAGCCATGCGATAGGAACCATGGGATGAGACGGGATGTTCGAAATTCCAAAGAGCTAGAGCAAGTGCGCAAACGTGGCTATTTCTTTGACCACCTGGAGCGATTAGACCCTGTTTTCTTTGGAATATCCCCGAAGGAAGCCGAGCAAATGGAACCCCAACAAAGAATGCTTGAGGTTATTTGGGAGGCGCTGGAACAAGCTGGGATCTCTTCCAAAAGCCTGTCGGGTTCAGATGCTGGTGTTTTCATTGGGGTAAACTCTGATGACTATTCTCGCTTGCTACTCGAAAACCTCCCAGGCCTGGAACCGTGGATGAATTGGCATAGCGTACTGCGGCGTCCCAAACCGTGTCTTACTAACTTACCTTGATGAGATCAACGAACTGACTTTGTAGACAGTCACGACGGCGGCTCGTGGCAGACGCATACCAGCGGTAGCTGGTCAACTGCATTTATTCGATGAGCACCAAAACTGTTCCGTCTTCCCGCATATGAAACGTTGTCCGCGATTTGGACGTAGATGTAACAGCTCTTTGGCGGATCTTCGCTGGTTAGAAGTCTAATCCTGTCTTGGAGGGACCGTATTCGGAGGTAAGGTTTGCTGGAAAGCAAGGTGGATCCCACAGAAGTCGCTGAATCGAGGGTTGGCGCCCATGAACGAGAGTTCCAAGGAAGGCTTGAGCCGGTATCTAGGTCGGGAGCCACATGAACAAGCGTAGTCATCTCTTGCTGATTCCCGTAATGTCCAATGACCACCCAAGGGAACCCCATGCTGGCGACACCAACTTTGGACGAATAGTCGATTGAGTAGTTGTCTCCTAGTCTCGTGTTAATCTCTTTCTTCTTCAACTCAATTTTGATTCTTGACGGGCATGATGAAGTTGGTAGGATCCTCAGTTCTCGGAGATTGAGGGCGGATTTCGCCCAAGTGCAGGCTTAGAGGGCATCGCACCAAGTCGCATGGCCCCGGCATCTTACAAAGAAAATCCCCTTACAATGAATCATCTTTTCTTAATATCAAGAGACCTGCGTTTGGCCAACTGCTGCTATGACAGCGTTCCACCAACAGTCCTCAAAACCACCGTTCTCAATGGCATCGAAGGGCCGTCGAATCAGCACCAGAGCTTTGAAACCAGGACGGTCATTGTTTATCTTCCTATATTTGACGTTTGATTCAATTACTGCTACCTCCAATTACCATGCCATGGGCTTACTGGGTATCGCGAAGCCGACCGCTGGCGCCCAAGATATTCGTGTTAATTAACGGGGTACTGCTAGGCCATGCAGCCGCGTTAGCCCAGTCAGCTTTGCATGGACTATCTCGAATTACTGCTTCAGAATACCCTGACATTTGGGGAGGACTGATTGACTTAGAATCACCCACGATACCTCTTGATGTTATGAAGTATGGCCAAGGGGAAGATGTGATCTGCATATCCGATGGCATTCCTCGAACTGCATATTTAAGACCTCTTCCACATGAGCGACTGCTTCCTTCGGCTCCAGTCTCCCTGTCATTTTTTCCCAGGGGAACATATTTGATTACAGGTAGCTTAGAAGCTTTGGGTTTAGAGACAGCGGAATTATTGGTGGAACAGGGCGCACGCCGTATTATCCTCGTTTGAGGACGACATATACCAGCTCGAAGTAACTGGGACAGAACTACTGCTGTATCATATGACATCCTGTGATCCACAAGCTCCTGCATTTCGAGGCGTATGGCGCCACAATCAGGACATTGTAGTTTGATATGCCTTCGGGGTTCAGCCCGCAAAAACTAGCCGAGACAATTGAATCTTTGGATCTTCCTCCAATTATTGGCGTTGTACATGCAGCCGCCGTTATAGATAACGAACTCATGCTCTACGCCACAGCAGAAGGTTCAATCAATTTATTGCACCCAAAATAACAGGTGCAATACTGCTCCACCAGCTCTTTGAACCAAAGGCTCTGGATTTCATGATGCTTTTCCCTCATGTGGACAATTATTTGGCTTCCTGGGGCAAGCTTCTTATGCCACCGGTAATTCGTTCCTCGATGCCCTTGCAAATCATCGCCGCGCAATCAAGGGGATAACACTGTCTCGATGCAATAGAGCAGCTGGCGTGAAATGGGAATGTCCACAAGCACCGAGTTCATTGATGCCCCCAGCGTGTTACGAGCCAGGCCTTTAAGAAAAGAGTACTCAATTCAAAATACTAAAGATAGGGGGGAGAGAGCAAGATCTGCAATCAGAATAGTCCGCTCAAAATGGAGGAGCAATAAGGGGAGACCTACGTTAACCCAATTAGGAAATGATATGATCCCTCTGTCGATCCAATCACTCTCCTCTTTCTTCACCTTCTTTCCTTCCCCTTCTTTCCTTCCACTAAGGTCCTTCGTCGAGTGTCTATCATGATCTCTTTTTTTTTTTTTTTTTTTTTTTTTTTTTTTTTTTTTC